AGGAGACGTCTGCAGTTGTCATGGTTTCCAATGTCTGGCTGAGCTGAGTAGGAACAGGTCAGGACCAACATCAGGACCCTGTAAAAAGATCTCAGGGGGGACGGTTTCCTAGAGGCTGAGTGGAGGGAGGGGTCGGAGAGAGAGCTGGTACTGGCATCCAGGAATGTTTGATGAGCTTCAGCCTGATTGAGCCTGCTGACCAGATGCCCTCATGCCCCAAGCTGTGGTATTGGCCTCCACTGGTACCAAGGGTTTCCCCCCCTCTGTAAAGTATGTGAGAGGTGTTCATGGAAGCAACTAATGACATTAGTGAACATTTATAAGTCAGGCAGCCACATTCCAAGGCCACCATGATTTTAAAGCTCCACAGATTCTCAGACATGCTACTGTCCCATCTCCATGACAAGAGGAGTTGGCATGGAGTGGTCACAGGCAGCCGTCAGGAGCAAATGCCCAGTGTCTGACCTAGTTACACCCTCCGATTTAGAGACAGAAAGAATGTAATATCTGAATTAGGCCTTTGTCACTTAGGGTGGTCCATCCATCTGTCCGTCCGTCCGTCCGTCCATCCATCCATCCATCCATCCATCCATCCATCCTTCCATTTACCCTCTCATCTTCTACAGTGTTTCTTCAGTTCCGGGCATTGAGAATGGAGAGGTGACTCAATGCCTCTCTTTGCTATCCAGAAGTCCACTATTCACTTCAGCTATTTAAATGACATGTTGGTTAAAAAAAAAAAAACAAGACAAAACACAGCACAACTTACACACTCATTTGCTTGTTTTAAGAGAAAACCCATGGGAAAGATATTAATTTTATTGCATCAATATTTTTTTTTGCTGACTAGAACGCCAGACTTAAGAGTGGATATAAGTATAAAAATAACCGAATTCTTACAAATAATACTTTGCTGCTACAGTACTGAATAATTAGTGGAGGCGACATTATAATACAACTTTAAATAACATTCTCATGATGGGTTTCACACAGTCAACGTGGGTGTCAGGTTTCAAAGAGTACAGAACAAAACCCAGGACGATGGCAACGGAGTTCGTACTGCAGCTTCATCTCCATTTAACCGTAAGGCCAGCAACACACACACACACACACACACACACACACACACACACACACATCAACTCACAGCAACTCATGGTGGAATGGTCATTTTCTCTGTAGAACAGGCCTGGGTAATGCCCAAAGATAAGTGAGTGCATTTAGTTCCCCTGACAAACCAGTTCCACCCCATTCCTATTTTCACCCCATTCCCAACAATTCAGGACAAGGGCATCAAGCCCTTCATTTAAAATTATAGCCGAATCGACCTGGCAGCCCCTTGGAAATGCCCATGTGACAGGTGCAACCCAGGACCTGCCTCTCTTCATACCTAAAGGTCTCCCTTCGGTTTCACAGGCTATTCTGTGGGCTAAAGTTTCCATCAGACATAAAGAAATGTTACCTCACTGGGTGGTGGTGGTGTAAGCCTTTAATCCCACCACTCAGGCAGAGGCAGGCGAATCTCTGTGAGTTTGAGGCCAGCCTGGTTTACAGAGCGAGTTCTAGGACAGTCAGGGCTGTTACACAGAGAAATCTTGTGGAGACACTTAAGTACAAGGAATTGATTGGCATTTAATACTTTAATGTTCCTATTATTTTAACCAATTATTTTAAAAAGTTTAAAGTTATTATTTTAACTTTAATGTTCCTATTGCTTTCCCCTTTGGGATTTGAGAAAAGAGCACACACACCCAACGATAAGCTACAAAAGCATTTCTGTCTCCTAACATGCTGGCGAGCACTTTAGAATGATACTGTTAGGAAAGAGGAAATGACAGGGTTGGGGTGTGATGCAGCTTCACAGCACAGCAGAGCACTTCCTGGTACGTGCAGGGCCCTGGGTTTCTGGCCCTATCCTCCAGCAGAAGGAGGAGGGGGGAGAGGAGGAGGGGGAAAGGAGGAGGAGCTGGAGGAGGGGGAGAAAGAAGAGGAGGAAGAAGAGAAATAGGAAGAGGAGGAGGAGGAGGAGGAGGAGGAGGAGGAAGAAGAAGAAGAAGAAGAAGAAGAAGAAGAAGAAGAAGAAGAAGA